AAAACGCGCGGAGCCGCCTCATTCGCTCGCTCGAACGTAACCCGAAGGGGCGCGCGCGCGCGCGCACATACCTTTTTCTCGCCCTGTTATGCGGCGCACGCTCGAAATCACTTCGCATCTTTTAACGTACCGCGCGAGCGAATTTATGCGCGCATCCACTTTGGCGCCTACGTGCACACCGCAAGCGACGGGCGCGGGCGGCGTGCGGAAATACACAAATGCGCATTCGAGAAATCTCGGCTGGTAACTCGCCGGGCCGAGCAGAGCCGGCAGAGATATTACTCCTCTGAAAAATTTAAACGACACCGAAAGCACCACTGGCAGCGACGTTACGCGCGAATCGAGTTGTTTGCGGGGGGTTGTTTGAAATTCATAAATTGTCGCTCTAAATTGCGCTGGTAATTCTGATCGCGATGACATCTTCACGCGCTCACACGCTCAAGTCTCATCGAGATGAATTCTTGCTTGCTTTACGATCTCACTGTCGACCGTCGTTCTGCAACAACAATTGTCCAGAGTTTAACGTTCCAATCCCCTCGACGATGAAAGATGTTGAGGTAACAAGTTTCTTTTTCTAACAAATTTTACAAGTGATGACAGTAATGGCAATTGAGAGATGATGATCGGTCAACGATAATTGTTTGATTAACGTAGACTCACGCGACAATGAAATTGTAACTCGGTTTTACAAAATTATCCTCATATTTTCCTCAATTTGCGGGGTTTGCGATAAGTGGCAGATATCTGAATGATCAGATTATCAGCTCGGTTTGTGCGACGCGAGAGCGCTCGGATGATACACGTTGATTATTTTAAAGCTCGCGCGATAGCACGCGCGAGTTTCGATAAACGCTGTCATATCTTTGCATCGAAATAGCATGCACGTTTTACGCGGTAAATACAAGCCTCGTTCTAACGCGAGCAACATACTCGGGGAATAAAGTGAAGTGGACGACGGGAACTCGACGTCGTCGAAAGGCCGAGGATATCGCCCGTTTTACGCTTATCGGCGCGGAGGTGCGTAAAATACGCGATTTACCGAGTGATATCGCGAAGCCGCGGCAGCTTTTTAGAGACGCTTTTTAAAGACGCGATATCGGCAGCGGGGGATTAAAGTGATAGCAATGAGCGAGCTTGAGAATGCATATCGCGACTATTTCCGTCGTGTGTTTTTATTTAACTTTATGTAATTAACGTCGTTAATTAATACCGTAACCGCCCCGTGACGGTGGTTAATCGAACTCCGGTCTTCCCTTCCCGACGCAAGCAGGCAATCCTTTTTCGGGAGGTGATCGCGATATGGGCTTCGTCGAGACGCCTCTTCTTATCGGCTGCACATTCGCCGATAAGTATCGTGTCTCTCGTTCAAGTTAGAAAGAGGAGGAGGAGGAGGAGGAGGAGAAGGAAGAAGAAGAAGAAGATCGAGCGCGCGGCCAGGGAGAACGATCGCAAAATTGCGTATCAGCTTGGCGATATATTAATTACGCGAGCGCGCCTTGCGTATTACGACGACGCAGCTGACCGTCATAAACCGGCCGTGAAATTGTTTTTCTCATTGCATTTACATAATTCGTATCGCGCGTGTATCTTATTCCACCCTACCGATGTCCACCCTAGCGAGTTTCTTTTTCTTTCTTTCTTTCCTTCTTTCTTCCTTTCTTTCTGTTTTTTCTTTTTTTTCTTCCTTCTTCTCCTTTCTCTTTTTTATTTACGGAACGTACCGCGGTTGTGCGTACGGAGCCGAGCGATTAAGCCGATGGGTTATCGCGACAGACCAGGATATGAATGCGCTGCATCGGACATGCTTTTGGATTATTCGCGAACGCGTGCAGCCGCGAGATCCTATCCACGCGCGAAATCGCATTTCAATTACAATTTGTAGCAATAGTAATTATCTTATTTATTGGAGCGCTGTCCACGATAAGTGTAATTATTAAAATCCAGGAAATTATAGGCTGTTCGCTCTTCCTGTTTGTATAAACCGGAGATATTTTCGCCCGTCGCAAATATTTACGCAAACATATGCGTGTGTGTTCTCTCGGGTGATCTTAAAACTTGTTTCATACGCCGGAGAGAAAAATACATCGTCTCTCGGACTCGGCCGGAGGAAGATTTCATCGTGGAAGAGAATGCTGTCGCCGTCTTAGATATTGTTATCGTTGTAAATGTCGCTCGCGACTCGTCGTCAGTACATTTTTCACGTCTCTCGCCTTGAAATTTCTAGAATACGCCGAAGCCGTCCGAGCGTTCCGTCGCGTTTTGTTACCTTTACCCGAATGCGAAATATTTCCCGCGGAGAGAACATGAGAGCGAAGGCGAGAGAGAGAAAGGAAGAGAGAGAGAGAGGGAGAGAGAGGGAGAGAGAGAGAGAGAGAGAGAGAGAGAGAGAGAGAGAGAGAGAAATGGGAAACCTGTCGTGCGCGCTCCTTTGTGCGCAAAGATGAGAGCGGAGAGATCGTAAATCGTAAATGACTGCTCGCGCAGGTGAATGGGGTATATGATAGCATTGCCGAGAGAATAGCGTACGGGAAAGTCATGACAGAAACAATCTTGATGGCACAAGCCACTTGTCTTCAGCCTTCCGACAGTCCGCGAACTCTCGGTCTTGTCGCGTAATACTAAGATATAATGAGAATCGAGGAGCGCCTGTGACGTTTCGTACATCGAAGGCAAATAAACGTGGCCGACGCTCTAATAACTCGGAAACGAAAAATATTCTACATGATTACGTAACATTTTTCTCCTGTCGTGAATCGCATTTTTCATTTCTTACGCGAGATGAGGAGTGTCAAATGTGAAATTTTACAAAAAAATACCTAATCTAAAAATCTGGAATGTGCAATCTGGAAATTTTTCACAAAATCACACATATATAAATAATGTTTTTAATAAGTATAAAAGCAGCAACAGTTGTGCACGAAAACGCAACTGTCCTAATTATCATTTCATCGCGATTCAACGTAACTGTGCGAGAACGTGTGCGTTGCACACGACACGATTGCGCAAACGAATGAGAGTCTCTCTCTTGGCGAGGCGCGAGATTGCAAGAAAAATCACACGATCAATATCATCGGCGCGGGCACGCGCAAGAAACGGCGAAATCCTACCGAACGACAGCCGGAATGAACGAACTCGCTACTCGCTGGAGAAACTGTCGCGCGACTTCCTATGGTTCTTTTACAAATACGGTAATCGTCGGATCGCGGCGGATAAATCAGCTGCGACAAATGGGAACACACCTAACGGCGACACTTTCTTTATGCTAATTCCCCGAGTAAATCGCGCATTCGCCGTGATTCGCGGCTCTTTTCCGACGCTCGGCAGGGCAGGCAGGCAGGCAGGCAGGCAGGCAGGCAGGCAGACAGACAGAAGGAAAGAAAGGCTGTGAGGCAAAGCGCACTCCGGCGATATTGCGACAAGACGATAGAGCCGACGTGGGAGAACGGGCATAGAAGAATGCGTAATTGTTTTGAAAGAGAGACCGAGCTTCGTCTCGCTGTTGCCGCCACCGCCGCCGCCGCCGCCGCCGTCGTCGTCGTCATCGTCGTCGTCGTCGTCGTCGTCGTCATCGTCTTTCGTGTGGGATGTGTGAAAGGCGGCCTGCGGCTTGCCGACGTCGAGCATAAACGACGAGGACAGGTTTTGTTTCTTTCGTCGTCCGCATATCCACCATTCCGATCCTCTCTTTTAACGCGATTCGCGATCCGGACGCGCGACGCGTGCACAAATGCAGAGATACCCGGACTCCCGTTTAATAGGACACCGCGATACGCTTGATTTTCGTTGCGCTCCAAAGAGAGAATTGAGCTTCCCGAAATGTCAGTCAGCTCTGAGTTCAAACAGCTGAACTCGTCGAGTGGCTCGTTAAAAACGATCGGGTGTACTTTTTTACATCACAGAAATGCCCTCGAAAATCTCGCGAGAAGCTCGAAGGTCAAAGATGAGGAAGATAGGCCGTCCCCCTCGTTAAAATTTTCTCACGATCGAAAGCAGGGAAGAGAAGTCCGCGGATCTTCAACTTGCGGCTCGGAATCACCCGACGAGAATCCATTTCGGTGGGAGAATTTTCCATCGCAAGCGCGCGCACGCGAGGATATTCTCCTTCGTCGGAATATTACGCGGTACATGCGGAGTACGCGCTCGAAATTTTGAAACAAGATGTATTCGTGCACGAGAAGCAGTCGAGTGGAGGCATCAACAATAGGGATTATCAGCATTGGCTGAGCCGACTTCAGGTTGATATTGGTCTCTCGAGCCCCGACATATTGTAATCACGCGGATATATTGTGCTCGTGCAATGTGCGTTCGTCTACCTTGCATCTCTCTCTCTCTCTCTCTCTCTCTCTCTCTCGTACTATTCCATCCACCGCCCTCCTATCCTCCTCCCCCGAGCACCCTCTTTCGGGCTCTTTCTTCGCGTTCGTCCATCCTCTCCCGGCGTCTCTCTACCGGCGATCAATGCTCTCCTATCCTACCGATAACTCGATAATATTACACGCGAAAACCGCTTCCGACGTGCTCGCCAAGTCAGCGAGCCACTTGTGCGAGCAAATAACCAGTTATCGGAAAACCGATTTTATTTTCGAGGAGCGGTGGCTCCGATTTTTTTCTTTCCCCTCTTCTTTCTTCCACTTTTTTTTTCTTTTGCTCATCCGCGCGCTACTCGACCCTCCACGTTCCGTTTCTCGCTCTCCGGTCTCTCACTCTAGTTTTTCTCTTTTAGTTTCGCTCTATATCGCGTACAATAGAAGACGCGATTGGCACGATTAAGATTGAACGGTGCGCTTCTCTTTTTCAAACGAAAATGCCTACTATTGTTCTCGCTTCTTTTTTCGCTAATTCATTCCATTTGCAGTTGTTTGTTAACTGCAAACACAGAAACGCAAAATTTCAGCAAGCTATTTCTGTTTTCGTACCAAACAACATTGTAACGAAGCTCGAACGCGCGCATCTAATTCTTGGTATTTTATTAATTTCGCAATTCGCTCTTGCTGTTTCAGGCCCTGAAAGAGTCGATGACGCAGAGAAACGAACAGCTTGCAGAGTTGGGCAATCTTTTCCGCCATTTGCAGGAACATCGCACTTTGCAAGGTTACGAGGGCGAGAAGACATCACGGTGAGTCTGCACATATTTCCACACGAAAAGATACGCAAGACTATAATGTCACCGTGACTTCGCAAAAGACGTGTAATAATTATCACGTGATTAGAGATGACATTTTTTTGGTCAGACTCTGCAAAAAACAGATTATCAGACGCGCGACATGCGCGTGGCAAAAGGAAAAAAGTTGGATAGAAAAAAAAAAGAACGTTTTAGATATTAATCTCGCGGTGAACTGTTGAGACGCTCGGCTCGCATTGTCGCGGCACTCGTAGTAGATAGATACGGTATCGCGGAGGAGAAAGGATTGATCCGGGATGGAAAGGCGCAAAGGTCCCGGTAATACAAAGCGAGCGCGACAAAGAAACTGCATTGCCGCGCTAAATCTCGGACATCGCGGCAACCGCGTAATCAATCTTCAATCGGCGAAACGATTGATTCTTTTCTTTCCGTGTTCCGTTTTCCACATCGCCGGCATCGCAAACCCGTTTCTCATTCCTTCCCGTGGTGGTATCGTGGTATACATTTTTGCGAAATCACGCACGCATACGTCTTTATTTTATCTAAAGCTTTGCTGAATATCGGCGTAACATTCATATCAATTACGGTAATGCACGTTTCAAAGACTTCTTTGTGATTTGTGAGATCTTTCAGCCGCGAGAATTCGTGTTCCGCTACATATTTCCCACTGATATCAATTAATTACGCTTGTGTGTCGCGATTAGTCAAGCTTGTCTGGCAGGAAAGATATCGTAAACCTATTCTCGATGACGGTAATAATACGGTATTATGCACGAGATGCAATTGATTACCCATAAATTGAAAGTATGTTAAAACGCCGCCTGACATTCACGTCAAATGTAGATCATTGATAAGTGAAACCGTCGACGATGAAAAGTTAAAAATAGAGAGTCATAAGATTGCGATTTTAATCCCGATGCTTTGTTTCCCCTTCCTTCCACTTTTTTCTTATAATGACATGGCTATATATCTAAAGAGGATTTCCTCTGAGGTGTTATTTCTTTAATGAGATCTTTGGTATTTTTTATAATAACCGTATGTGAATTTCAAGTCCTTATACATGTATTATATATTACACGATATATTACGATAGCAGATGGTTTATTTCGGTTGATTGAAATTTCCACTTGATAACGACGGTATATACATATAATTTCTCACTTTACTCATTGCGTACGTATTCGTGTGAAGTGAAATTTCTCTTTATAACTATTGGAGAATTTGTCTTATTTGCAAATCTCGTTGGCTCCGACAAATAAGGCGTTATAAAATTAGTAAATGAAACCTTGCGCGCGCAAAGGCTGTTTCGTATTTTCCACTTATCGAGTCCTTGCAAATTGGAAATCGGTCTTAAGCGCGCGTATTGGTTTAATCCGACTCGATAATGTCTCTGTCATGCGAAAGTTGTAACTATAAATACATTTGCAACCGCGTACCGCCTTCGCGCAGGCGACATAGCGCCGCTTGTAAGCCAAGCAAGATTGCGCGATAAGAACAATAGAGTTATAAAGCTGTCGAGCTGGAACTTATAACGAGATCTAACGCGCACACGCAATAAATGCATTTAGGTAAAAGGTCCTGCGAGTGATTACATTATTCGCTCCAGTCGTTAGATCCCATTAATTTTTCGTCGCCAACAATATCTTGAGAACACTAATAACGCGCGCTCAACTTTATATATCTCCCCCTTTTTCCCTCCACTTCTCCCATATCTTCCCTATCATTCAACTTTCTATTTTCTCTGTCTTTATATTTTATCTTATCTTCAATCTTTTCTTTCGAATTCCCTAATCAATTTGGTCAACGCGAACGACCCGACGTTATCTCTCTTTCCGAGTCGGCTGACCGATTCCCGATCCTCGCAATGAGGGAAAGTTGTCTCGCGCGCGATCGAAGCGTGTAATCGATCCACCCGCGCTCACATCGATAACGTTTCCCCGATGTCTCGACTACGTCGGCTCGTTCCTCTCAAACGTGCGCGTAAATCCCTTTATGAGCGTCGCGTCACGAATTCACGGCTTGTCGCCGATTTTATTGCACGGCGGATCGCACGGCGCGCGCATAGTCGCGGCTTTTACCGTCGTCTGAAGAGATCGAAGTATCGCGAAACTTCCGGCATTCCGTTTGCCGATGCGGCGTACGCAATGTGCGTAAGGTGCATGCGTTCTTGCGTGCGTTCGTACATACGCCGCCGCGCAGCGCGTCGAACTCTCGCGGCTGCGTGCGTGCGTGCACTGCACAACGCAACGTCAGGCCGCGTGCAGACGCCGGCGTAAAACGCCGGCGTACGCTCCGCGACGCACGGACCGTTTCGAATGTAACCTGCCGGGGCGCGTGACGGTGTTCTCTTAGCAGGTTGAGCGATTACGATGCTCGACGATAGCCCGCGACGCTGCAGACTCGATATTTCCGTGTCGGTAGATAGGCGCGTTTACGCCGCACAATTACCACGGGTGTCTGCAATCTCCTTTTGCAACGCGAGCGTATCGCTCTCATCGTTCCTTCCGCGCGATTACAAAATATGATCAAATATAATCGGGTTCTGAAAGAGCAGATTGAGAAACACAATATCGCCTCCTCTTAGCGAAGCAGATTTTTAATACTTTGACAATATCCATTTTATTCGTTTCACGATATGTATAAAGATAAGATGTTTATTCGAGAGATTTATTCAGATTAAGTAAGATTGTCCTCGCTCGCTATATTGCTCTAGGTGGTAGAAATCGACACCGTTCTCTCCGCGCACGGATGTTTGACGGCAATGATGAAGTCTAGAAATCCGCGTGAGTCAAGAGCATATCTCGCAGCGGCGATAATTGCGGTGAATTAGTCTTCCAAATCGGTCGTGCGCTCCTACATTCTCCATTCCCTCTCGCAGTTATCGCCGACAAATCACCCGGCTTCTCCTTGCCTGCCTCTTCCTCCGTGCCCCATCCTCTTTCTCTCTCGCTTCGTCCCGTCGACAATCGCGTGATCATCTGGCGTGTATAACAATTAGTCGAGATCCCGGCTACGTTTAACTGAAATCACCCTCATTCCGTGTGCCCGTTTTTTCCATTCTCGCCGCTGCTGGATTATCACGGCCGCCATAAATCCCGCTTACTCGCTCACGACGATCGCGTAATGATCGATAATCGGACGATAAACTATCGTTTCGCGAGAAACTCGTCTGCTTCATTGTGTGTGCCGCTTGTTTCCTCCGTTTCTCAGATACTTTCTCGCACTCGTAGCACCCTCCTCGTCGCACGTGTGGGAACACTTTGTTCAACATTATACATGTTATTTCCGCGTAAAATAATATTGTGTCGAAATTTCGATATCGACGCAAAAAAGCTTGAACTTACAAAAAAGAACGAAAAGGGGGTATACGATGATATACGGTTGGCAGGTCGAGTTGACGCAAGGATTAATCGCAACAACGTTGTCGCGAGATAATTATACACGACAGGCCGACTGTGTGTGTGTGTGTGCGCGCGCGCGCGCGATTCCATAATTAAAAGAGTCGGAATGAATTAACGCGCGATTTGTGTATCGACGATAAATCTCGCGTCGCAATTGCAGACAATACGTGTAGATTTCCGATAATTGGTGCGGAACAATAAATTTCTTCCGAATCGAGCGATCAGATGCAGGTGTATTACAGGTGCGATATCTGTCGCGCCGGTTATGACCGACCGCGCGCACATGGGGCAGGTGATTGCCGACAGAATCATTCCTTTGTGATCTGAAATTGATCTTGATGAATGGCGCGAACTTGGCTGGCGTAATACACCGGCGTCAAAGTTTGATGTTCCTCTTGACATATTACGCGGATATCATCGCCGCATTTTTATTTCACGGACAGCTGACGTCACGCGTTCTGCACGCGTTACGCACTGAGAAAGAATGTTGCTCGTTGCTCTAACAAGAAAACGCAAGTAGGAGCAACGCGTAAGATTGTTGTCATTAACATTTACCACAAGAATACAATACCGATTTATGCCCGTCCGTCGAATACACGTCGGAACTCGGAGGCTGGAACAAACGATAATTCGCTGCGCAAACGCGATTGAAGCATTCCAGGATCGGGGGGGGGATAAGATGTGATTATTACCTGATCGAAAAATCAGATTATCGCTGATTCGCCGATTGTCACGGCATAATCGTCCAATTTCCTCATTTTCCCTTTCCCCGTTCTCTGTTCGTCGCATCGAAGTCGCTCGAGTTTGCGGACGCGCGGGGCGCGCGCGCGCGCGCGCTCGCGTAGGCGCGATACAACCGACAATTAGTGTCTAATTAAAAATCCATATCGCTCCTTATCAGCGATCGCTACGTTTCTACAGTGGTCCGCGGCCAGGCGCGTACCGCTGGAATTTATTCACACCCTGAGCAGCTGAGGCGCTTAGCATTAGCCGCGCGCAACGTGCTGCCGGTGGGAGTAGTAGCAGTAGCAGCAGTAGTCGTCGGCGCGCGATAAAAATCACCCGCGTTTCCCCGTTCGTTCGTTCGTTCGTACCGTCAAAGTTTCCGACTTCGAATGGAAACGATTTCCATCGCGGAGGAAATGAGCGGTGTGTACGTTTATCGTTCCTCATCGGGCGAGATTAATTTTCACGCGATAACACGTCGGCCTGCGACTCTCTCTCTCTCTCTCTCCCACTCTCCCTCCCTCCCTCCCTCTCTTTCTCCCTCACTCTCTCGAGTCCGTTTCAGTCAGCGTTCAGCGGCGGATCCGTCGGCCGCGAAACAATCGTTATTCCCGACGAATCGCCTGCGTTATTGAGGCAAGAACGGGACTTCCGTTGGGGAATCAGATACCCGACACGCGTGTGTGGCAACACACGGTCAGAAGATGCGCACACCTAGGAATCCGCCTACTCCCTCCGAAGGTACACCTCTACCCACCTCTACCTACCTACCTACCTACCTACCTACCTTCGATTCACGCGCATCCGCGTAGGAAGCGCCTGTGCGCAGATTACAAAGTGGATATTGGCTGTACGAGCTGCATTCTC